CTCCCAATCACTGATTGCAAATCACGGAAATGCATAAGTTACTAATTCTTAAAAGTAATTTTTGTCTTAGAAGACATTTAAAATTTGAATCAAAATCGATGATATTTTCCCGTCTTTTTCATTAAATAATCACCAATATCGCTTAAATACATTCAAATAATTCTAATCATTGTTATCCTAACGAAATACAATAATGTGAAAAAATTGTTTTTTCTAACTTCGAACTACTTTTTCGGATTGGATTAATCTTTTTATCATAACGAACAACGGTACTATCTGCGATTCAATTGCTATTAGTAATAATAAAGTGGTAAAAAAAAGCAAAAAAATTTTACATGATCTGGAAAATATTCATTCAATGAGTTCCCAATCATTCGATAATGAATGATACTTTAACACATAAGATTAGAATTTTTAAAAAAGATTAGAATTTTGGCTAATGTCATCTTATTTGAAAAATCGGATTATTAATAACCTTTATATTATCGATCATTCATTCCTAGCTGATGAACATGGCTATTTGAGAGGTTCATTCATATTGCGGCCGAATTTGAAATTAAACACTGGCAAAAAATTCTCAATCTCGTGCATTGGAGTTGTCGTCCATAGCAACGAAAATGTGACAAAAGTAACAATCGCCCATAGCAATAGGAGAGTGACGAACATATTATTACCTTGCAATTACTAAATTTAATTTTGCTTTGTAGATTTTGTTAAACTTTTACAACATGGCATATAACATCAAAATTGACTAGTACTGTTGAGACAATAATCTTTCGCAAAGTAGTCTTTTTTTCTAAGCAAACAAGTTATGGAATAACTATTTGATCGTCCCTAATCCTCTTGTATTTTGTAAAAGTTATGTCTCATGCCAAAAAAAAACAGTCCAGAGTATGGCAGGATATATTTCAGGTAAATTTAAGGCAACGAGAAAGTGTCAAAACAACAATGAGCAGTGAGTTGAAAGAAATACTGAACGCCAGAAATGGTCTTCTATTTTGCGAGGAAGAACTTAGTCCAGTTTTCTGTAAACCGAAACTCATTCCACTCAAATCTGTCACACTTGAAAAGCTGGAAAAAATGCAGAGTGAAGCAATGGAAATGATGAAAAAGAAGGGTAAGAATAACAACGAAACGCCAAGAAAGGTAAATTTTTCACTGCAAAATTAGCTGCCAATTAAACAACTTTTGATATTCTTTGATCCGAAAATTACAATATGAAATGACTTCCAAAATTCAAGCCTGTCCAGTAATTTTAGATCTATGTAGCATGCAACTATGCACCGACATAAATTATCGGTATATATTAGGTTTTTAAACCTAAGTATTTTGAAAACACGGAGCTACGAAAATTACAAAATGAATTTCAGGAAAACACGGAATATACTCCAAGTAAATTTGAAGGAAGCACTGCTGATATTTGGACTGCTGAAGAAGATTACGAAACAACAACAAAAACAGTCTAACTTCACAATCTATCCCTCAATCACCGTTCGAATCTATTTAGGCTAATCATATTTTTGTGGTTTAGGTCTACCGATAATCTCCGGTTCTGCTATTGGATAAGATTTTGGAATAGCCTTCCATTCCTTTTCTGTTCGTTTGTAAATCATCTGTCGTGTATAATGCCCTAACTTTTGATTGTCTCGTAAAGCTTTTACTGATTCTCTGGAAAAAAAAAGTAGTAATAGATTTGTATATATATTGAATTGAATTCGTTTTTCACTCTCGACTTTTTGCAGACTGTTTTATCATTCGCTCTCTTTTATTACTATGTATGTAAGTTGATAGAACAGTATTTCACACCACATTAACCATCGATTTACAGTTGACATTCACATCTTAGTTTTTGGACTAAATGTGGGTGCTATCTTCGTCGCAAAGAAAACTGAAAGCTGAAATAACCAAAACTTGAAAATTTATCGAAGAAAAAGTCAAATTAGATAACCTTTGTGATGGTGGCTTTAACAGTTGTGCCAGATTACAATGAATCGGCTCTTTCGGCTTTTCATTCACATAGACAACATGAACTAAGTCGAGATCGTTGCGTAATATTGTATTTGTTGTATCGCGTACTTCGCGTGGCATGAATGCTTTAATTAGGAAGTAGCTGAAACATGAGAAGGAAATTTGAAATGTATTTTTAACTACAATTACTTTCACTTCATCTACTGATATAATAAAATCAATAAGTAATCAATCAATAAGTATAACAAAATCAATAAATCAATAAGCAAAATCAATAAGTTACTTTGACGTGTATATATGTTCCGTCGTTTGCTTTCTCACTCGTCTAAACGGCAGGTCACGATGTCCAAGGCTCTCCAATTTTTCAATTATAGCACCATTATCAAGCAGAACTTTTGCGGCACGACGTATTGCGGTAAATAATTCAGGCTGTAAAATGTAAAACTATAAATGTACCTTGCTGTGAAATTTGAAACTAATTTCGAAACAATGAGAGCAAGAGCTTCTAGTAAAAACAACTAGAAACACGCTAACCTTAGCCAGAGACCGGGTAATTAGAGTAATTTCATATAATGGCATTTCCAATTTATCATAAATCCATCGATATAAGCAACAGTAGTCAATCAATAATCATATGCAATGTTAGACCTTCTCATATAATCTTAAACAGAAGTGAATTAACCAGAGAATTTTTGTTTCATTCCGAATTACAAAGATTATTAAAAAAGAAAAAAAAACGCGAGGACACGGAGTACATAAAACATTCCGGATGTCCGGATAAACTCAGAATTATTTGAAAAATTGGAAATAACTACCAATATTACATGACTACTTTGAACAGACTTTAAAAGTACGAACAGAAGAAGCAAATTCATAGAGCTCTTAAAATAATCACGCAATGTAAGAGGTAACTTTCACACCATCCTAAGGGAAATCTTCGAAATTTTCGAAGCTACTTTTACGGATTTCTGGATCCAATGCTCTATTCACAACCGTAATACAACAAATACATATTCCGCACAATGAATATTATGTAAATGTTGGATGAACTGACATCACTTGAAAAAATCTGTTTAATCTGAAATTTTTTCAATATAAATCTTTATCTGATCAGTAAAAAGTCAAATTTAGACAAGCTTGCACCTGATAAAACTTGAGGGAGGTGAAGGAAGAGAAATAATTAACGAAAGACAAAATATGCAACACAAAAAATGCTTTCTGTGTAAAAATGTTCAGTTCATTTCTTGGTGATAAAATCAAATAGACGAAATGGATAATGCTGTAAAACGGAAATCGAAAATATCAAGCTATTTCAAACGAAAATGACATTCTCGAAACTTTAAGTTTCATCCACAATACCTTACAAAAGACAAGAGTGGATGATATGAAAAAGAACGGATGAATACACAGTTTTGAAAATTGCTGCAAATATTTCCAAGAAAATATTATTTACATTTACAGTGCAAGCAATAACTTTAAAGTGACCATCCAATTTTAAAGCTGCAGATAAACAGATACTAATCAAAAGGAACTTATCCTAGCAAATACATCGTATTTGTTACGCCGTCAAATTATAGCAGTAAATAGTAAATGAAACAAAAATAGAAAAAAAGAATGAGTGAAATTTACAGAAGGCAAAGATTTATTAAATTTCACAAAAATACATCATGGTTAGTATCCCGTATAAAGTGTCATTAATGCAACACACAACTATCAGGCTTTATCACTGATTGTAGTATGAGTTTATAAGAAATGGATTCATACTAAAATTATTGATAAAGGATGATGGTTCTAACTGTTTTGGGAGACATTAGAAGACTGAGAACGTGGTAATAGTGGGCATGGAAAAAAAGTATATCCAGGTGGGAGAACTGCTGTGTCATGAGTAGTTCTGTCAACAGGTTGTGCTACTGAAAATGTCGCAACCGCCTGAAATAGACTATGGATTAGCAGAAGGGATTAATATCGAATGAATGAATGAAATTTTCAAAAAGGAAAATTATAAGCATTACAAGGACCGAAAAATTTGAGTACTATACAACCATTACAAGATGTGCTCCTAAAAAAGATAATCCGTTATTTAAAATGTGCAGCCTTCTTTAAGAAACGTTTAGATATTCAACTTTTATACTACAAGTTTCAAACTTTCTGGACAAAGGAACAAAAGTAAAGCATGAAATATAGTCCTTCTCTGTAAATAATGAAGCATACCTCTTCATAAGAGGGTGGGGGGTGAAGTGGCTTTAACGAATTTGCATTAGTTGGTAAATTAGGATTGAAACCCGACACTGTATCAAGATGAATTATACACGATGGCAAAAAATAATTGTGAGGCCTTAGAACCACAGATTCACCATTATTATCATTTAATAAGTTCTCCTGAAATATAAGACATTGTAATAACCAACAGTTGATTTCGGTGAGTAATGGTACAATAAATAGCCCAATTAAAACAGAATACACTGGAAAGTGCTGCTAAATCCTAATCTGTGATTTAATATATTAAATATGCTAATAAATTTAAGCGACTTTTAAGGGGAATATCGAAAAATGATCAGTAAAATTGCCTGCATCCGTAGACAAATTTCATTGCCTGTCCTGTTACTACCTCTGCCCATCTCCAATCCACGACGTCGATGACTTATACCCTCGTCGTACACTTCATTTAGCGGTGTTCTTCGACGTCCTGAATAAACAAAGCTCAACGTTGCGTACGAAACCATAGTTTGTTGTTATGAAAATCTACTTCATAACCAAGGAGTTTTATAAGTTGTGAAATGTCAACCTTGAATCACTCCCAATATTCCGTTCCTTAAATACTACACTTCATAAGCATAAAAAATAAGACTTACTTCGTGAATGTACAGGTTTTCTTGGAAACAAATCTAAACGGCAAACAACACAACAGATAATTATAATCACGATACACAACAAAGGTAGGCCAAGTACAACACCCCATGATGCCGCGTATTCCTGAAATAAAAATTACAATATCAGACATGGTTTAGTACTGAAATACTGATCATTCTTTACTAAGCTAGAGATGACAGCACTGATTGTAGCATGACAAATTTGTGAGAAAAAGCAAAATATGAAGAAATTTTTAAAGGCTAATTTACTGTCTAGAGAAAAAGATCCATTAAAAGTGACCTGACAAAACTGCCCAGTATACCAATAATCCAAACATTTACAGTGTCCATTGTCCATCGGGCGACCACCATTTAAGCATTTAACATGTTCACAGTGCTGACCGTGTATGTATTCCGGATAGGGACATCTGAAAACTAATATTTTCTCTAGTGACCACTTTTTCGAGATGAACTTTTAGCTTTCCTGTCTAAAAAGATATTGCCTTGATTTTTGTACCTTCAGATCCCATCCGTTTAGCAACATCCTGCTTTTCATCCTATTGCTAAGTCATAAATTATCTATCCAGACGAATTTAGCATGCAAAAAATAAACCTTATTCGAGGTTTTCTTAACTGCATTGTTCATACCCTTCCTAACAAAAAGTAAACAACCTGCACGTATACTGTGTTGGAACAAGATTGGGTATTTTCACTAAAGTGCCATTATTGACGCAAACCAATTCTTCGCATAAATTACCCCGATAGAATTTGGGGCAAGCACATTCTCCTGAAAATTAAATCAATATCAAGCAGAACTGCTTGAAAACCTTATCGGAGATTTGGGAATTCAAAATTTGGAGGCTAAAAACGTTGAACTTTGAAAAGGTCAACAAATATTACCTAATGATAAATTTATATTTCCAGTTCTGCAATTCACGTTTCATCCAAGAACGCCGAATTATGAAGTTGAAAGCTATGAAAAATCATAAAAGTAGCCGCCAAAAGGCATTTTTCTCACGAAACTTCCGCTATAGTAACTGTTTTCTGTAATAATAAGAATTAAGCTAATTACCTCTTAACGTCTTCGTGCCCCCATTGAGGCAATCCGGTGTTAAACCCAGCATTTTTTTCAAATACTCTAGTGAATCCGTCATTATCTTCCTGAAATGAATGCCATCGTTCTTGTCGTCAATGTTTCCTACGTAACTAACTTCTGGCGTACTTTGTAAATCTGGTTCCAAAGGTAAAGGTAAGCTTCCATCAGTGTTCGTCATAGGCGTCGTTCGTAATATTGTAGACTGAAAAAGAAAAAAAAAACGTCTGTTGCTAAACTATTCATGTAAAATCTATTAAGTTCGTTTAGATCAAGTTGAAGAAGTGGGAAGAGTTATGCTAAAATGGATTTTTAAATTAAAATAGATTCTACAACGGATTTTAAAATGGATCTTAAGGATGGTTTTACAATTAAGTTTCAATTAGTTAGCTTAGATGATATGCAGTTTGTTGTAAAACTAGATTAAAGCGCAGTGGTTGCAGTTAACGTTATCAGCTATTTTTTGGAAGTCTAAATATAGCCTCGGCTGTTTTATAAAACCGCCCTTATAAAAGGAAGCATTACATAAAAAACTGTAAGTAAATTACGATTATATTTTGAAAAGCAAAAAAACTCATGTTCAATAATAAAGATAAGTTTAAAAAAACCTCCGCAAAAAGTGAGAAAAAAACCTCCGTAAAAAATGAAAAAAAGTGTACGCAGAAAGTATCAGTAATAACATTAGTAACGTAGTATGATATTTTAGACTACAACTCTGTCAGGGAGTAGATTAAATCCTTATGAGAAATATAAACACACTCAATGCATTATATCTTTAATACTTATTGCGTATGAGGAAATACAAATATAGTACACTCTAGGTTTATCGCCGAAATTTTCCACTCATTTTTTTTTTTTACGAAATTTGTTTTGTTAGCAACAATAGGTGTAACACACACTTCAAATTTGTTGTCTTTCTTTAAAGCAAAATTCGTTTGATTCAATGCCACTATCGTAGTCATTATCATTCAGACAAGCAAATTTGCATATTTTCGCTGCCAAATTCTGCAAACATTTAACGTTTATATTATATTAAAAAAAATGAAAAGAAAAAACGAAGTAATGGGATCATGTAAAAATAACTGGAACAATGACTTACGAATTATTATAAATAAACTTAAAGCAACTCAAAAAAAAAGAAACAAACTACAGTAACAGACAAAGACAAGTCTGATTATTGTAGTACCAAAGAAACCTGTACTATTTTCAATCCTTTAATATAAAATGATAAAATCACATTCATACATGTTAATAATACAATAAATACTGATACTGAACAAATATATCCTAACTTGTTTTGATAAATCAAATGGACAAACAGATAAAATATTTGTCATTACCTGATAGAAGCGATTGAAGTAAACCCGTCAACTCTTACCAATTTATAACTAAACATGTAGTAAACTGAAATCTTATCAGGACATCATCCCTTACCCCGTCCCCTGAAATATCTCAGATATTTCAATTAAGAAATACTACCATACTAGTGACCAAACCGTAGGTAATTCACGGATTAACCATACTTGTTTATGTGTGTGCATGTGGGTGTGTGTGTCGTGCTCATTGCGGCGTGTATGCAAATTAATTTTGGATGAAGGATATCTGCATCCATTAGTTAGATGCAAATAAATAATCTTCGCCGATTACGGTAGTTGTACAGTATGGATATTTGGGAAAGGTACGGTGAAAATCACATGTAAAACGCGAAATGTTTTCATTACAAACAAACTAGGATGTTTTTATGGTACCATCAATGATATCCGATATATCAGGATTGCATACATTTCCTTTATTCCATCTTGAATCTTTCTGTTGCAACAACAACTGGATTATTTCGCCAGTATTATCGACAGTATCCGGCATATCAGAATTGAAAAAAAGAAACTGAAACACTTATAATGTCTTCTCTTTGAGTTACGGTTTTAATTGTTATACTAAGGGAATGATCGAAACTTTAACCATAATATCCCGTCTAACATAGCATTTAGTGGAAAATATAAGGGAATAGAGAGTTAGCTAATATGTATACCGGAATCTGGCCTTCATTTATACTAAAATTATGTACTATTTAATATCCGGAATATATATATATATATATATTTCCAAGAATGCAAGTAACAATTCATTTTGCAAATAGTCGAATATTTTCTGCTTTATTCCGAAGAGGAAATTTTGAAATCATAAAAACCATAATAAAAAGCTTAATTTCATCCATTCTAAAAATGAAAAACCATTAAAATTTGAACTTTACTTGGCTTCATCCATATCGAAAAACTTCCAACCAATATCTTAGCTCAGTTCTATCCAATGTAAAACAGACCTCCGCAGGATCTATGAAAATTGTCTATCATAACACACTCAGTAGCAGAACTGACTTAGCATTATCATCATAGGTCTTCATGTAAGATTCGAACATTCTACGTATTGCTCACTGTTTGCGCTTTTATGCACTTTGCTACTAAAACAGTCACCTTCCCGTTTTTGAATAATATATTTGATTGACACTTCGCCATGTATAATGATGAATTCCCTTTCCCTCCACACGGCTAATTTCTTCCTCATCTAAACATATCCATTTTACATTTATATTGAAAGAATACAATTTAAAATCCAAATTAAGGCCTGTTGAATGCGAATGTGAAAATAATTGAAAATATTTTTTTCCTTTTTTTTTTAAAGCTATTCAAGCACATGAAATTTGTGAAAAATTTTATTCCAAAATATCACGCAATTCAGTAACCCGTTGTAATGTTTAAGAGAAGAAAAGAAAGCGAAATAGAAATAAGACAAAAGAAATGCTAGCAAAATAAAACATCAATTATAGCGGATAGTTAATCGAAAAGGATGATAGCAGCTGAGATGATTATAATGCATGAATGTAGAAGGAATTAGACAATACTTGTTTAGAGATTCGAATTTGTTTGAAATATTCAAATTATGTTTCAAATATTTGATGACATTGCTGGACCGATTAAACTGAGATATGATCATCAACACGGATCGAGGTCAAAGCAAAATATGAGATTCTTTTTTTTTTACTTATTTCTTTATCTAATCCTCGAATTATTTTCCTATTCGAGGAAATTATTCTGAAGTGTAGTAATATAGAGTAGTAAAATGAGAAATATGAATCAACAATAACATCAACGATAGCATTCCTTGTCTGATTAAATTAAGACAGATGATTAAATTTTATCAAAATTCAAAACCATTGTGAGCAATATCATTCACTTTACATTATCGCTTTCCGTTACTTACCGTAATAGAGAACAATTCAAGAGTTGTTAGAGAAAGCCCGTTAACTTTTTCCTTTAGCAATATTTGCAGTGAAAATATACCATCTAAAAACTAACCATAGCTTTTTTTTCGATAAAAATGGCACTGAAATGTCCCTTGAAAGAGTATTACTGAAAAAGGTTTGTGCCGAAAGTTAATCCAAAAAATTCTTAAACTGTTGGATTTCAAACTTTCAAAGATCTATGGAACAATTCGCTTTCATCAAAAATCAAGTTCAGGAAGAAAAGTAAAACCAAGTATATCCCGGAATTAAAATTAAATTCTAAGACTGACAAAAGTGCCGAAAGTGAAACTGGTTGAAATACAGCAGAATTGTTCAGTCATCCAGTTCAGTTTACAAAAATGAAAGCAGAACTGCATTCTACGCAACAACAACAGTATTAATAATGCATTTAACGAGAATAACGATCTTTATACAGCAATGAACAGAATGTTTTCTCTTATAATAAAATCGTTTTTCTTATTCGATCAAAACATATTTACGAACTATCGACTTTTCCTAATCCGTTATTAAATCCTTCAGAAAGAAAAAATTTTTAAACATACCTTTGAAATTTATTTAAATTTTAAAATTGGAACGGAAAATATGACTAAACGAATTACATATAACCGAAGCGGTAGGAATGTATAGAGCATATATACAAAACTGATAGTTCTTGCTTAAGATCATGATTATGTATAACGATGTAAACATGATATAGCTCGAGCAGTTGATAGGCGTACATCAATATCGTGATCTTTTAGTAGTAACATCAACCCTAAAAAATTATATATAAAACGGACATAGGAAATTGTCGTAACAGTTTTTTAACTTAAAACCGTTTTGCTGGATAGCAACTAACATTATAAGTAATTGGGTCGAAAAAGCTTGAAAACTTATTAAAGTAATTATTGAAGTATGAAAATTCCAACAAAATCTTTTCGTGCTCAAAAACTACCGAGAATTCAAGATGTAACTAATCGATACTTTCTCCTGCTTTCCTTAAGCATTTAAGTAAGCGGACTAATATTGTTATTACATTAAGCTTATCAAAATTCAAAATATTAAGAATTCCTAAAACATTCGATGTTCTGCAAAATTAAAATTTGTTCCATGTTTTCTAATTTAACAAAGAAAAAAAATTTTCGAACATGGTGCTTAGAATCAACTACAGCTTGAATTTAAAATAACTTAGAATTCATCACATGGAAAAAATAATATAAAGTAATGAAAGAAAAATACCATTATTCATTCAAATTAATCATTAAAAATAGGATTTTCCTTGATTCTACATTCGATTCTACTTTGATTCCACATCTACATTTAAAAATCAAATTCATATGAGGAAACTATTGTTCACTGCCCAGAATGCAAGAAAATAAAAATTACCTGCGAATATTAATTCTTTTGAAACAGTACTCCGTAATTCTGGTGTTAATTCTCCCAACAAATAACCCGTCATGTGAGCTGCGTTGGAACGGATACGAGATGATGTACTTTTGAAATAATTATTACAGCTCAAAGCAAAATAGTTGATGCGATCAGGAAATGAAAAAGCCTAAAAATGGATGCTTAATGATATTTGCCAACCTATAAAAAAATTTAATGTAAACAAAAAATGACTTTAATCTGTTCAACAAATAAATATTCCATATTACTACTACAAATCTTCGATAAATAACATAATTGTCTAGTTTGTAGAACAATTTAAATATTCAAAAAAAGTGGGTAATATCAGTGGAATATGATACACTTCTGCTTTCCTCGACGTATTCATATTTAATGTTTAGAACTCCTATTTAGTTCACCCGTTCATAGTATGCTTACATTACTTCAGTCGCTGTACTGCTATCAACTAACACTGACATTAAACGTCGAAACATTCTGTAGGTAAAAGATATAAGTTCTGTGTTAAACACAGAAAATCAAATCAGTAATTTGAATATGAACATAACAAAGGAATCAAAATTTTTTTGGAAAATTATCTCCAAAAACCTAAATATCTTTTACAAAAATATACAGCATCATATATTAAGGATAGGAGATCATCCGAAATCCGAATTTGATTACTCCCCATTGTTATTTTAGAAGCTACCATATATCAAACACAATTAATCAGACATCAATAACCAAATAGCCCACTGCACGGATAAGAGATATGGTTTATCGAAAGAAAAGCAATGTAAATGATAACAAAAATAACTTACTAATATTACACTGAATTGCTTTAAAAATTGACGATAATTACGGCATTGCTCATCGGTTTTCAAGTCGCGCTCAATTAACAATGTCAAACGATCGGAATTTAACAATGAACTTACTGTTACAAGGCATCGCGCACACATCTTAAACAAATATTTCTTTAAAGCAGAAGAAAATTTCTAATTTTAAATATTTTCGCAATGTTGTGTGGAAAAATACAATTTAAAGACTTTTACACTGTAAACTTGTGTAATTCACTCGCTTGAACATTACACAGAAAAATATGATAAAGCTAGTAGAAGTTAGCTAGCGAAGGTTAAGTACGCAAAATGCTAAAATAATCTATCAATCAAATAAGTTTAAAGACTAGTTTAATCAATTGCTACCGTGAAATTCTTTTGGTGAGGTATACGATGCTCATATCCTAAAACTGGCATTCTGATATCTTATCACAAATCACTAATGTTAGTGATAAATAATAAAAACATTAAGTAAAATGTAGGATAGTCTAAATCAATATTACAATGAATTCAACATCTCACAGGTAAAATAGTCTAGTCTGTCTCAATGAAAATTTCGTACATTCATTAATAAATTTTAAGAATTTAAAAACTTTGCGAGAAAAACTGAAAATGCTACCTGCTTAACTTGATCCTCCTCATCATTCAAATGCAAAACAATTGAAACAATATTTATAAGTAATTGTTCACGATATGCGTCATAACAACCCATACGTTGGCCTAATTCACCAAATAAACTGAATGATACAGCACGCAACGCACTGCTTTCCTAAAATTAATACAAGAATCAGTACAAGACTGATGGAATGGATGGTCAAAATCAAACGGCATAATTAATTGAAAAATTGATAGTCGATAAAAACGCTAGAAAAAAGATGAAAACTCGTTATAATTCAAATATTAACGTTATCAGCACTATAATATACAATTTCAAATAGATTTATCAAAAATTATGTGGAGATGAGCAGTATTCACAATGGAATAATGGAATTTGCATACTTTTTCAAAACATGGTCGTAATTTCAACAATACATTCGATAGTATATTCTCCAGATCTGTATTTGGCACACGTGTAGAAAGTTTATTCAGTGCGTTAACTGCTTCCATTGCAATCTGAAATAACATGCTTTGATAAAAGAAAAATTGTGGTCGGAAGAACATATATTCAGTTCCTAACAGTAAACGTTATACCATTCACAAATAGTCTAAGAATTCGTAAATATAACCGTAAGGAATCACACAAATAAAGATGATTCCTCAGAAAAACGAAAGAAGGAAAAAGTGCCAAATTCTGACGTTAAAAAATCAAAACGATCAGCAACAAAACAGTAACTAACCTCATCTCGACGATCACCACTATCATCTAACCCGGCCATTGCTGCCTGTATTGCATCCGATGAATATTTGTTTAAAATTGAATCACTACAGCACGCCAAATCACCAAGTCCCCGAACAGCTAACTTGAAATTGAAGGATTTCAAATAATATTTGTGTAAAAAATAAGCATACATTTTTTTATCATCCATTATTCTTATAAAAATTTCTAGAACTTACTTTTCGAATTTTTAAATTACGATCTTCCAGTGCTTTCATTAAGTTTGCAATTAGCGCCTCAAGAAGTTTATTATCGTCTTCTCCTTCTTCATCTGGACATCTGGAAAAGGAAATAAATTATACCTCAATATGGTACTAGTAATTAAGAAGCATTATGAGCTTATCAGAAAGCAATACTATCAACTGCAGAGAAATGATCCACAGATGTCCAAAAAGAAGATTATATGATATTGATGCACACCGTTTGGTTAAAGCAGATAAAACTGCTGTTGCAGCAATACGATATGCATCACTGGGAGACTGCATACGAGGTATCATCAACTTTACAAGTGGTCGTATCCATTCAGGACGATGTTCACTTAGTGAACGAGTTAAAACTGCTATCTGTAAAACGAGATAAACAATAAAAATATATTAACATTAAGCATTACAAAAAAACATCAATAACAAAATATTAATAACAAACAAAAAAGGGATACTCTGTTAGAATATAAAATTATTCTGATGAAAAGAATAACAATAAAATGAACATTAAAAAAAACAACAGATAACAAAAGATACCAATGTGCTGGTAATTTTTGGCACATGCTAAAAATTACGGAATTAATCCTGAGGACAAACTAACGCCGTTCGTAAAGTGCAACGTATCGACACAATCACTCCATGCACGTTCTGAATTCATTTTTTCAACGATAGCATCATCGAGTGTTCGAAGAAACAAACTTCGCAAAGCCTGTGATGCCAGAGCAGCCGGAGTGGATGACAGCCGACGCAATTCCGGAGTGATGATCAACGACTTTACTCCTGGACTTGTATATCGGAATTCAAAAAATAATAATAATGATAATGAGAAGAAAATGAAGATGAAAAAGTAATCAAGAAATATTAATAAACCGCATGAAGAAGTCATACATAGAAACGGTTGAGGATAACAGATTACGGAATTATTCGGAAATCTTACCATCTTTTTCCTTCATCAACACTGGATATTGAGTATCAACAACGGCTGCAAGAAACTGCAATAAGGCTGCTAAAATATTTGGAATTCGCTTGCACAGTTCCACTTCTGGTTCACCAGCCTGAAATATATGAACAAGAACCTATTCAATTTTTTTAAAAAATAATTGATGGAAAAATAATTATGAATTTGATGGCGTGTATGGGCAAAATTTAGTTATTCATTGATGGTAACTATGAAAGTCTCACTGCAGGGACCAAAAAACGACCTTTCACTATTAACGGAAGTGACAAAACGTGGAGTAAACTTAACACAACAATTTAATTGCATTTCATCAGACAACAGTTTATAACATGAGATTTTGAAAAGTGAAACGAAACGATAACGTTACCTTAATAATTTCTGCAATAGCTGCTGCTAATGTACAAACATCAGGTTTTACAATTTTCACTGATGATCCAGCACCAGTATCCAGAATTTCGAACGGTACCTCGGATGTTTCTGTTGAACCACATCCGGTTGTTATCAATTCCAACAAATAATCAGCAATTAAAGGAAAAAGAGAATGATCATGTGACATAGTATGCCACGCATCAATCAGTGATCTAAATGAAAAATAAATAAATGAATAAATAGCTTTTCTTGCCGAAAAGATCAAAAATGTTTTGGTATATCATAAGAAAGAAAAAGTAATGTCCAAGGCACTTTTAGCTGCAATTATTCAGCTTCAATTTACAAGTTGCAGACACAACAGTAAATGTAACTGTTTCAAACCTTTTTAGCTGGGATGATTTTATTCGCCTATTTGTCCTTCCTACTTAATATGAGCTCATCACTTTCATGCAGCCTTACTTTGAACTTTTTAAAAAATATAATATCTTTGGGATTCAAAGTTTTTGAATACTTACACAGAATAGGGTAATGGTCTAGCCAACATGACATCGATACACGCGTATAGCTGATGGTGCGCAAATGCTATCAAAGCTGCCAATAAATCGGTATAAGTTTGTACGCATGCATGTATATCCGGCAATTTATTTAATAATGTTGTGACTAATGTATCAGCCTACAAAATAAGATTCAACCTCTTGCTTGATCTTCAACAATTCGAATTTCAACTTAGTTTCAAAAATAATCAAAAATTAATCGCAACATCTTTAAAAGGAGTGGAAAAATGAATCAGACTCAAATGAAGTAAATAAGTTACCTCTGCAGAAAGAATATCGCCTCGATGTGTGAGCATACTAGTAAGTAATTGAGCAGCTGCTGAACTGACCTGACTTTGGCGATCACTTAGCATGCCAAACAAACCTGATACGTATGTTTGTATTTGAGATTGTGGCAGACGGCTATCAGTAATCTACAAAAAAAAAAGAAAAAAAGAGAAATGAAAAATTTTGTTAAATAAAAATTGGGGAATACAGAAATTTAACAGATAAAAGTCTTAAATTAAATAGGACCATGCCACGAGAAACCGCCTAGTAGGCAGTTTCTCTTTAGCTGCTCATCCGATATAATTTGAAAATGTAGTCTTTATATTTTGATACACTGTCGGATGTTTTTATATCCATATAAGCAGAAAAAGAACGTAACAGACAATCCATAGATTACTTACATCAGCCATAACTTTGACAGCTTTCCGTGAAAGCATTCCTTCCAGTTTACCCTCGTCACCAAGATACTCACTGATGAATACAGTTGGATCAAATAAGGTATTATCGACACTATCTCGGGCAAGACCTGAGACATAACTATAAATATCTTGGAATACGATCTATAATTAATATACAAATTAAGCAGCGATAATTGCCTCTTTTGAGCCGAAAAAAAGTTAGAATAACTTTAAAATACCTTTATAGACATGAGCTAGTCGGAATGTCCAGTAAACAGCACGCAATGCAGCATGACGAACAGCACATAATGAATCAGCAATTCGTGGTACCAGCCGAGCTAACAATGATGACATCGGGCCAAACTCACTTGCACGCTAAATACAAAAACCGAGCAAATCAAAAAAAAACTTGAAAAACAATTTAATTTTAAGACTACTTAAACATCATTTGTCTCATTAATCGTACATCATAATAAAAATGAAGTGACATAGGACTCGAACTATATCCCCTTCATTCGGCAATCATTATTAACGACACTAAGAGAAGTAATTCAAATTCCTGTTACTTTATTATATCGTAATACTTTGTCAAGCATCCTTAATGGTAAAAGAATTGAAAAAAAATTTACAACTGCACATATAAAGCACTTACACCCAACGCAAAATCTGCAGCATGCTCAAAATAAACCGTAAGCACGCGTAATGTAGCATTGACAGCCCGTAGACGTTCATGACCAGCAGCAGAGGCATAATACGGTTGAAAAAGCTGCAAAAACTACCAAAAACTAAAAAGAAAATTATTGATGTTTTTTTGAACACTCAAATACATGGAATCTGGGAAATGCACCAATTTTTCAGTTCGCCATAAAGTTTTAACTTTAAGTAAGAATGAAAAATTTTAAACTGCAGTTTCAATCATCTAACTTAAATTTCATTATTACTTATCTATCTTTGACCTCATATTTGAAATATCTCATCGTTTTTACTATTCTGTTCCAAAACAAAAAAACACATGACATCTTGGTCTTCATATGATACCAGTATGATTCTTACCATGAAGAACTGATTTTTTTATATAAGATTATAAGTTAAGAAAATCCTTTTTAAATCAGTAGCTTAGTTTACAACGATTGAAACAATAATTTGTTGCTCGCATTAACTCTAATTCCTATCATAAGGACTAAACTTGAGTCATTGGAATATTTCGAATATAGAATTTTGTGCGAATACAAAACAGGCATCAAACACACCTTCAGCAAATGTGTAACGGTTCCGACAGTAGCTTTTTTCTTGATTATTTGCTCAATTGCAGCATGATACTGATTTACTGTAGCCTCCATCATTGTTGAACTTTCATCATCATCAATCTACAAGTCAGTTCGTTTTATGCAAACACTTTTTCACGCCGCAATTTAATCTAAAATTATGTTTTTTTTTTCGTTTCCTTGGAAAAATCAAAGACAATCGACGAAAAATTTACGTCTAAGCACTAGAAAAGAGATAGCTTAACACCGCTTTGAAACTACAAGAATTTCCGAAAATAAAATCGTTGGAGAAAACATATGAGACACTGCCGGTTTTGAAATCCGCTAATAATGTGAAGTCTTTTATAATTTTAATTTAATTCAGTAATTAAAAGAGCCTTATTTCTATGTTTTGCTGTATATATTAAAATGAATATACAATTCTTCACATAAAACATACAAGTATCATTTTATTTAGCAAAAAAAGGACAAAAAGAATAACCACCAAGATACCGACTATATTTTCCTTTTTTTTTTTTTTTAAATCAGTAGCTTTTCTACAAATACAAGTTCAAATTCCTGTTAAACTAAAGCCAAAAAAGCTAACAGTTTTCAAGCCACTTCGTTCACGGCATAAAGGAAACGTATGATTTGTTAGAACATAACTAATTTGCCAAATATCATCATCAGATATAGTTGGATCCAACGCACTGAAATAATAACATTCAGGAAAAATGCCACTCTTCATATCTTACAAAGAAAAAAAAAAATCCAATTTTCAGCAACAATCATTCTAATCTTTATTATTGAAGAATAGATTATTTTTTCAGCAATGTTCAATGAAATGCAACACTTGCAAAACTAGAATCCTTCCCTGAGAACAATAACTACCGACAATATAATCAGTTGCAAAGTAAAGTCATTAGATAGATTCTGAACACTGTCAAGAAAAAATGAGACTGCAACTAACACCAAAGCAGCAACTGCTTTACCAGCAAGTAGCCTTACGGAATTCGATAAAGTTTCTGGTGATTCGGATTCAATATAGTCCTAAAGTCAAAAAGTTATGAGAAAGGAACTGTGATTGAAGAAAATCAAAAAGAATTAGATCTTTGTAAAAAGTTCTTGAAATAAGTTCGACAGAATATTGTAAAATATTTTTGCATACTTTGTTCATGTGCACATATGATAGTTACAGCAGGAACTGAAAGGATGAGAAATAAAAGGAAATTACAAACTTTAATATGATTCAAAAGTTCTGTACGACATTCCAAATGATATTCAGTTACGAGATGCGCCGGGCTCACCGAGACCGCAACCAAATATATTGTTTCCAACAAAGCTTCTCGAACAATCACTTCCTGCTAAAAATTATTTTATGTATATTCTATTGTTACTTATTTACAGCAAACTGGCATTTCTTTTCATCTCTCACTATTTCCTCTACTTTAAAAAAAAAAAATCACACTTCATCCTGACTCTCTGATCACCTAGCACAACGATGGCGTCGAGTTTTTTTTACGTTTCTCTTGAACAAGTGATAAAATCCGACCATGACTATCTGTGCCACACGGCAACAACTTGTTGTTAGAATTCAAAAATTTAGAATTCAAAAATTTTCAGCCGTCAAATGGTTTAAAGAAATCTTAACGCATTAATTAATTGGATTATCAGCAGCTGTGGTCATTTAACCCTTATTAATCACCATTTTAAAATTAAACCTAATTCATGAAAAAACATTGCTAATCTGAATTAAAAAAAGTAATCTCCGAGGGAATCAATTATAGAAAAGAATCCTTGCATAATTAAGCCTACGTTTGGTGAACAAAAAAAATCTAACCTTTGGATTTTCCAAATATTGTCGTAAAAATACTAGTACAGTTTGCTCCAATCTTTGTGTGACTACATCTACTGGACAGTAATAAACTACATGGCCTGAAAAATTTCATTTTCATGACAAAAAGCATACTGCGTTTTTTGTTCAAATTTCGTTCGCTTTTAAAAATTTTTCAGATAAAAAAAAAGCCATACCGTAGCTAAGCATGATGGTAGCACGTAAATTAATCATTTCCTGATCACTGTATTGTTTGTATGGCATAGCATCCTGAACTTATACCGAAATTTTTAAAATTCAATATTCTAAATCACGAGAAAAAGAACAAAAATTTAAAATTATCCATATATTCCAACGAAAGACACGACCAATGTGAAACAAATATAGTTTCCAAAAAGATTTTGAGAAAAAAGTGAACTAAACTGGTCATTTTTCTTATCAATATATTATTTATAAAGAATCTGAAAAATTTATCACCTTAATAAATCCAAATAAACCGGAACTTTTCTTTAAATTCTCCCATTTGGCAACATTTTCCAATTCTGTGAGCACCAAATCGGTATGCGTAGTAGCGCAATAACCAATCGCTTGAGCACAACCTGTGCGTTCGGCTTGTTGCGCATGTAGTGTTGAACGGAATAACAAAATAAGATGATCAACAACAAAACTTGTGTTTGTTAACAGTGCCAAGGCACCACCGAGACATCGCATCAGAAATGCCTGATAATCGACAGTTACTTCGAATATTAACCAAAAAAGATTTGGAGCATTGATCATTTACGATTTGTTGTACAGTTATGTTGTTACGCTAACCGTAAGTTCAGAAAAGTGCTCGCAATGTCATGACAGTTACTTTGACCATAAATTATTAAACCTATATTAATTAAACCAATACAGTTTGTATGGTAAAACACCTTACTCGGATAATCGACAAAGAGTAAAAGTCACTTACTCAAGTAATATCTATGCAAGAAGAGATGGTCATTCAATGGATAGATAGGAAGTTCGGTTTTTTTTTTTTCTTTCAAATATGCACAAAAATACTAACTTTTTCTTCAGGTGCATCAACATATAAACTGAACTGTTTCCCCATAGCAGCTGCAAATGCACATCGCCATTCACCATCGTTTACATTTCTTACACAGAGATCTAATAAATCAAGTATGTGTGTATGCCATCGTGCAATACGTGCAAGACGAAGCTCGCAAACTGCACTACCTCCTTCCATCGTATTGTTTAGGCTACCTGGCGGTGACAAACCTGAAATTAACAAGGCAAAACTAGAAATCAAAAAGGTAAAGCAAAAATGAATTTGAAAATTTAGAAATCTCTTAGTTTCATAAAATATTCCCCAAGTTTTTTTTCCCTACAATTGAAAACATCGACTGCCTCAAAAGCAAGATGAAATTTAAATACATAAGGAACCCACCTTTCAATACAACAAGCAATTCATCACAACTTTTTGGTAAAACATCTCGGAGCGAATTATGAAACCATGGAGCAAGAACACTTAATAGTCGTAAAGCTTCTGTAGCTCGTTTTGAAAGTACGAAATTAAGTGGTGCATTATTCGTGCATGTTATAAGTCGTGAAAATACTTGAAGATTCCCAGCAACGTGTGCTGAAAGAATGTTAGCTATTACAGTGATGATGTCAGTTTTCCATAATTCCGGCGACTCATTTTTTTTATTGAAAATATGTTATTTTGTACTTACGGCTATCAAAACCCTTCTCAAAATCGGGTTTTCCTCCTGCTTCGATCGTTCGTTCAGCAAGAATCCTGATACACTTGAAGATATCCGTCAATGCTATGTTATATTCTTGAGCGCAAATAAATTCGAATAAGTATGGCCAAAGTAACTGGAATAAGATCCATTATTTTTTCGAAAAAACATTTCTAATATTAAAAATTGAATTATAAGAAAGAAAAATCATTTACAAGAAAGGAATGAAGTGATTTTTCTAAAGAATGAAACCTTCAATACTAAAAAAACAATCCATTGTATTTAGTCCCTACACCATTCCGAATGCGAGGAGCACCTTATCAGTCATGCATGATATGGGTAGATATATTGAAAAAATACCTTGCTCGCTATTAAAAGCATAAAACCTTTAATATGCTGATAGAATGCACATTGCAGAGTACTTAGAATATAATTTAATTGCACCTTAAAGTTTATTGCTCTTTATTATTACCATAGAAATTTAATGAACTAACACTATGAGCTGTTGAAGATGTTTTTGCTATCGTTTGCAATGCTTGTCCACACTGTGCTCGTAAATGTGCCGCACTATCTGCTGCTTCTATTTCTGACGAGAAGAACGTCTTCCTAGCCTGAAAATTATTATCAATGCATTATTGTTAGGAGTGAAAATTCTTTTGCAAATTTAAAATATAATTCCTATCAATCATTGAAAAATTCTTTATGCACATAATGGCGGAAACGCCTTAACACATCGCACCGTTCATTTCTTCCCTCCCTGCTTTCTCTCTTCTTCAATATTTCAGAAATATATCGACTCTTAATATTTCAATTGCATCTTTTTCACTTTCTTCTTAATCGATTATTATTGCAATCAAGTAATATTACCTGAGTTAAATTTAAAGCAATGTGAGCGTTGTGCATTATCTACATTAGTTTATTTGCCATAGCTTAACCTTAAAACGCATAAAGAACAGGAACTTAGAAAAATTGCACAGCAGCTAAATCCTATCAAATAGTCTTTATCTTTAGTGCAAAACTGAGTTTTGCAAAGAAAACAGGGGATTCTTCAGTTACAAGTTAGACTTTTTGACAGGATGAACCTCCGCCGCAACATTTGAAAGAATTTATTGCCTTATACGTTCCAAACCTCAGGAAATCGCCTAGAAGAAACAATCTTTTTTTTTTTCTTTTTCAAATAATGACAAAAAGACTAAAACTACAGGTAATTATATAAGTAAATTATGTGTGGAAGAGATGAAGTATTAAAATTTACCGTTTCACCTTCTTGAACGATAAGATTCTTTACCAAGAATACAATCACATTATTACCACCTTCCGCATCTATATATTCATGATCAGCTAATGCCACACACAATTGACACATTGCTTTTTTGACTCGAATACTTAGCAATCCTTCACTACCCGCAAGTAACATTGGCTTTAAACCAAGGATTACCAGTGAACGTTTATCTTCCACATACGGCCCTGCATTTAAGTCCAATTTTGTTTAATCAAATGTAAAACACTGTACAGGAATTCTGTAAATATGATGTTAAAAATCATTCCTCTACCATGTAAAAACTAATTCCATGAAATAATTCCAACGACGAATTCAGCCAATTTCATTGTTTTACTTTTGCGTAAAATGTTTCCAGCCATCTTAAGTGGATAAATTGCATCTGCATTAAAAGATGCATATAAGTCAAACATCTTCACAATTCTGGTATTCTCCGGTACATTTATCAAAACAACTACACATTACTTGGTGAGGAAATCATCCCATATATTTAAAGTAACAATCTTTCAATTAAGTATCTCATCTATAGAGCTAAGGATGTTAATTAATCACAACTCAGCTATATAGGACGCTCGTTAAAAGCAATCAATTTAATTATTTTAATATATAATATATAGGAGAAATATATAGGAGAAATATATTTTAAAAAAAAGAGAGAAATATATTTTAATATATAGGAGAAATTTATTCAGCAGTAAATCAAACGCATTTAGCTAGATGTTGTTTTACTTTTTCTTAATCTATCCGTCTTGTCACTCATTGCAAAAATAAGAATAAAGCACTGTAATAGCCTAAATTATGTCGTTTTATTGAATGATCATCAAAAATACCAATAGGTTAAGGCAATCAAAAAATATATTGGTAAATTACTAAAATTACCGGCTGAATTTAAAAGATGTCTGAGAACATTGATAGCACCCAGCTTTGAACTATCCTGCGCATTTTGCATTTTGTGCAGTAAGTAATATACTATTTTATCGGCAAAACGTGTTGCTGAAAATATACAAAACAAATGTATAAAAATTGGAAATATACATAGCTAAGCCAAGCAAAAGATGAGCATGCAATTTAAATTTGGAGAAAAAAAAGGTAAACGATAAAAATTGCTGAGCACTTTAGACTGAAATTTTTGTTTTTCTAACACATGATTTTGATTTTTATTTTACATATGCAAACGAAGGATTTACTGGATTGAAAATTCCGGAAAAAAAATGCTAAATTCTTTGTAAAATTTCCCTTTCTAATTATTTGATAATGGTTAGGGATGAAAAATCAAATAAATGCAAAGGAAATAAGATGCAAAAAGGAATGAATGTGAAAAGTTAAAACTTTTCGTAGGGGTGGCTACTTACAGAACAGTAATGGACCGAGCTGGAATAGGGCGCGCCCATCCATATAATGGGGATATGATTCTAGAAATGAACTATCAAAGCAGAGCTACCACATATGTTACATGGCACATTAACAAATAAGAACAATAGTGATAAGGAAGGAATTTCATTGAACATATTTAAATAATTAGTGCAGAAATGTCAGGGGAATTTAACGTATTTTGTAATAAATTATTGGTGATTTAATTATTTCCTGCTCAACTTCAATAGTCTCCTCTGTTTCAGTGATAACTTCCAGTGTAAATTACTTGCCTTATCCTATGCAGGTACTATCAGAAAATTTAGAACGCATATCACAGCGTTAACTATTAAATGAAAATCGTTTTAAATTATCTCTCCCAATTCACATTAAAATTTAGTGTGAAAATGAAAGAGTGAAAATCACTTTGAAAAATTTAGTGGAAATCTGATCTGGTTTGGGGAGTTTGTTAGAACTTTTACTTCAGATTTGTAAAATGACAAGCAATTTCAATGCAGCATGGTAATAATGTTTCGTGAGATTTAAAAAATATGAACGGATGGATAGGACGCCGCAAACCATTAAAAAGGAAAAAAAACGCTCAAAACATAAAAATATTGTATAACGAATGCTTAACGACAGATTATTAAAAACAAAAGCAGCAAGAAGTTAATTAAATTTAAGGATTAGAATCAAATTATAGCAAAATTTGTCTGTAATGTCGTATTAAAGTGAAAAATGGACATAACAATGTCTAACCAGCGACATGAAAGCAACGAAATGCTTCGCTTTGATTACGCATTGAAATGTTTGAAGCGACAGTTTGCTCAGCAACGGAATATACCAATGGGAATAACACATTCAAGATATCTTCCAAATATGCATCTAACGGACAGTTTTCATCGGCACATGCCGATTCCAGAAAACGACATAAACCCTGTAGAAAGATCGAGGAATGTCGTAAAAAAATAAGAATGTAGTAAATGGGGAGGATGCAAATGGAAGTGGAGACAGAGAAATTTGTGGAATTAAATAAGAAGCTGACAAATTTGAGAAATGTGAACAATATTTTTACGCAAATGTTTCGATTGTTCGACCATATCCTTAAAAGAGAGAACTGCAATGCTACATAATAAAGCAGGCGATAATTCAAAGGATGGGACTGGAGAAAAAATCGTGATACTTCATATTTAGATCACAAGCAATTCTTATCCTATTAGGTGATAGCACTCAATTTACAAAAAAAAAAAAGAAAAAAAAGTAGAAAATTAAACGAAGGAAACCAAATACCTGTGTTACAAGGTGCTGATCAGTGTTAATCTTCCGATGTAAGTTCAAAAGCATTGGTATTAGCCTTCTCATTTCATCTACTAAACGTTTTGGAGAAATCATAAGGCATAATTCTCCTATACAATTAGCAGCTTCGCCCCGAACCTAAGTTTAGAAATTCGTGGAGCATCACAAAATACAATAAACAGTTCTTTATAAGAAAATATTGAAATTTTATAGGACACCATTATTTGTAACTACCAATTTAGTTATTTAATAATCGAATATAATAGCATGAAGTATAAAAACCATCTTGACAAGCTTTTTTTTGTTTTCAGCAAAAAAATTTATTCCTCAAAAGTGAGAAATACCTTTATGTCTTTAGCACTTAACCAACTGAATACTGGTTCATAAGCCAATTCCATTTGATCAGCATAATTTTTCTGCACAATTTTTGGTTCACCACATGCTTGAGCTTTAGATTCCTTGAAAACAACACAATCAAAATAAAAAAACTTATAAATTATTTGGTACATGGCATTTATATCCCCTTTGAATGTAATTCGATAAAATCGATGAATGCCTGCTCTGTAGCTTAGAACTACCACAACATGACGATAAAAGATTTAGATTTACGTTTATCAAGGAAATATATCAGAGATTTTTCCATGTCCGTTATTTCATGTGTAAGACATTACCCGTTCACTTTGAACACAGTCATCACTGCCACTATTATCATCACATTCAGTTTTTGTGACAGCTGAGACAGAAACATATTCACGAACTGATTCACAAAATGCTCGTAAAGCATGTGCCCAAGCGTATCGATAGATATCGGTTTTAATGTGAGGCAAAACCGAAATCACACGAGATAGGATATCCGTCAGGAATGGCACAAATCCGACTGCTGTAAAAGTGCTTCGAATACATTACTAATATATAATTTAATTCGCTGAAGTATCAAGAAAAATCTTCCGAAAAATATAATGAGAACGAAAAAAAACGAGAGATTTCAATGGGTTAATATGGATTACAACTAAATGAAAATGGAAATAAAAAACTGAATTCATATTCCTTGATGCATATTCACCATTATGTTCAGCGACATTTGCTAGTGTTAAAACGATATATCGATGAGGAGACGAAATTTGACCCGGTGGAAATTTCTGAAGTAATGCTTCCATTACATGTCCAACAAATCGACTTCTCTTTGCCAGAGTAACCAAAACATTGCAAGCAGCTTGTGGCCAGTCATCACTTTCCTGTATAATTGGAATTTGTATCCATAAAACCACGTAATATAATACAACGGAAAAGGTACTTGGTAACTCATTAAGTACAAGATAATTTAACCTAAATTAAGAATTAAGTTTTACTACACTTTCCGACGTGTCACGATATTTGTACTAAGGACAAGCTCAGAAGTAACCTTACAATTGCGGAAACCACATAAGTGAAGTGAACAACAATATGTTAATTAGATTTAATCACCTGCTATAAGGAAAGAAATGTCTAACAGCATTATGTTATTATATAAATAAAAACTTCATATAAGAAAAGCAAAAAATTCAGATCCTGATTTCGCTGGTAATGTTTGAGGAAAATTAAATTTACAATTTTACCATAATTTTGAAGATGGCAGTAATTTTTCAAATAAATAACAATCAGTTCTTAGAAAATAATTCCGAAACATACCTTAGAGAGCGTCATTTCCTGTGTGGCAAGATTTATTATCAGCAATGCCTGTTGCTCATCTAAATCTTGTGGCGTTTGATTATGCTCAAGAACTCGATTTACTGTCGACAATACAAAAGCTCTATTTTGTCCTGTGAGCTGAAAATTGAAGAATGGAACAAAATTTGAGCTTTAAATTAAAGAATGAATTAAAAATCAAAATTTGAGAATGGATCAAAATCAATGAACAATCAAACAGTAAAAAATAGTAAATAAGCAGAGAGTATTTTTCACATTAGTAATTTGAAAATGATTAGTTATGCATATAAACACTAAATACAAGTTCTGAGCCATATAAATTTATCGAAACACTAAAGCATTTTAAAAGAAATTGACGGAATGAAGAAGTGATAGCATGCTCAAGTAATCTCGAAAAAACGTTGAGAAGTAAATATAACTCAAATTTGAAATAAAAATTATACATACCTTACTATGTTGCATCAAGAAAGTATATGCAGCGGAAAGGAAAATCGTAGGTTGTTCGATACCAATTTTACTTAGTGATTCGGCGACATCTTCACGAGCTCCTTCTCCGCTGCTTAGTGTCACCGCACAATCAAACATCGCCATTATCAAATCTAAAAAAGCATATCCAATTAAAGGATTGAATGCTATGCCACTTACAGATTTCATATGGTAAAAATTAATAATTTAAATAGTGAAGTTATATAAACAAACAAGTGGTTAAGTAAATAGTAAAAAAGAATAAACAATAGACAATTAATCAATTCTAAATAACAAATAATAGTAAGTATAAGTAACTAATATATAGGCGAATGATCAAGGATAACAGATCCACAATAAGTAAGGCACCACTAAATGAAAAAAGAAAAAAAAAGCAAACAAAAAACGAGATACAAATAAACGAATAAAAGTGGTCAGTATTACTGATAAAAGAGTTAAAAAGTAAATAGCAATTAATGATATATTACTAGGAATTTAAAAAATACATATATATATAACTAGGAATTAATTAAATAAAACAGAAAATAGTGATAGATGAAGGGATGAGTCAGCATGATGTTTGAAATAGATAAACAAATTATAAATGAAGAAATCTGCAAGAGAGTTCGTATCTCTTTCTCACACAAATTTACACATTTATTTACAATTTATTTACGGAGGGGATGATAAAACTGATGAATTAATTTTACAAATTTCATTAATATTATTATAAAATATTTAGAAAAATCACCTTCCAAACTTTGAACCATTTTATATCCTTCACCAATTATTCCTTTCTATTATCAAAATACCTGTAAGAGAGAAGAAAAATGACTTCCTTTTTTTTTTAAAAAGAAAAAAATTCATTACACAAATCAAAAAATACTATTAAAATATACCAAAACACGAAAATTCATTCTCGAAAATCTATCACTTTTTTCTCCTATCCAGCTAATTTCCTCAGAAGGATTTCTATTCTATTTCCTTATAAATTCGCAATATTTACATAATCGTTGTAATTTCAGAGTATTGAACTACTATCACAACAGTCTTAGTAAATTGATAATAAAAATTTCAAATAACTTATTCATGAACAAATATTTCATTTCACTACCATATTTTGGTAGTGATATGATCATATCAGAATGAATCATTCCTGATAGAGAAATCGATCAATGGAAATATTCAACCTAACCAATCTAATCAGCAAAAGTAATTCCAACCCAATCAGTGAAAGTAATTGTTTATCCATTATTACTTGAATATATACATATAATATTTCAGTTAATTTGTACGGAAATTAAGTTATGAAAATTTAAATCAAAAATTTTGCTTTTTTTTCTCATTCACTTCATTTATTTTCAAATCATTTGATAATCATAATTTTTCGAAAATAGCATAATTTTTTAATTCATTATATCTCTACCACTCTCAATCTCTGTCACAACAAGAAAATACTACTATTTCACCATTTTTTTTCAGTTACTTTTACATCTGTATACTTATACTCCAACATATGCACTTTTTCTTTCTTCTCCACTCAAACTCTGAATCATTCTCTCGTAATTTTTCTCAGTTTCTAATATGATGAACGTATCTTTACTGTCCCATTCACTCCCTCTCATCTCTTCAATTTTTGCGCAATTTTGTTTTATCTCAGACGTGTAGTCCTTGCTCTTTCCAAATCCTAGCGATCTCTGATTCTACAAAAGAAAGAAAAAATGACCCCAACCCTTCTATGAAGTAACTTCCTGTCAACCTCTCAATAAAACCGGTACTACAGCTTGACGATCAGAGAGATATACAGTGAACGAGCGAGCAATTTATGAAAATGTTAATCCTATGTAAGTATATTGAAACAAAGCAATCACCAAAATTTTCTTGTTACGTGATTTACGTTGGGTCATTCATGATTTATTCGTCATCATTGACAACTACAAATGATACCACATGCTTACTGTTTGAAATCAAAGTTACATTTTAAAATTTAGTCTTTTTTCATGCAGCAAATTTTGGTAAGAAAAGGGTCACGTACGTCATTTTTAAGTTATTTTGTAAATTTTTTCTTTTTTTTGCCCTTCGCGTACGCTTTTGTGAAAATATATGATGAATTCAAAAATGACTCAAAGAAATCACTAACGAATTTTTTATTTTCTAAATTTCTTTTTTAAAATGGAAAAGAAATACATTTCGATTCATTTTCTCTGTAAACATTTCAATTTGTAACAATTTGTAATTCTGATTGTATAACTTACATATGATGGTGATGTAAGTTAAATATAGTGATAACATAGGCCAAATATAATGGCAACGTAAGCCATATCTAGTGATAACATAGGCTGATAACGTAAGTGAAATATAGTGATTAGTGTAATTTGCCTTTCTGATTTCAGCTTCATATTCCTTCGTCTTTTTTTTTTTTGTTTTTTTTTCGTAAATAATCAAATTGTATGCTGCAACAAACTGTCTGATGCTTAATTGGATAAATCATATTTTTACTTAATTTAATTACGAAACAAAAAGAAAAAAACGAAATAAATTAATTACTAGCAAAATTCAATTAATTAAAAATTAAAAATTTCTTAATGTTAATTAATTTGCTTCTTCATACTTTTTCCCCCTCCCCCCCTCTCCTTCCAAAACAAAATGAATGATAAAAAGAGTATGTTTAAGAGAAGAAAAAAAAAAGATATAGTTCCAAATTTTTAGATTAAAAATTTTCTAAAATGTTAAAATAAACTTTAAAAAAATTTCATCCTTCCATTATTTTCATCTTTGCTATTATTTGTTTTAAGCAAAAAACAGAAGGAAAAAAAAAAAAGAAAGGCGAAGTAACATTTATTGCTATCAAACATTTGGTTTTTTCAATTTTCATCATATATTCATATTTTCATCATTCAATTAGATGCTATACTTTGGAAAATTTGTTGAATTTTTATTTTTGTTATTCACTAATCAATTTTATCACAAAAAAAAAAAAAAAAAGAAAAGAAACTGTCATTTGTCAATGAAAAAAAAAGGAAATGATTTCAAAAAAAAAAAAGAAAAAAAATTCATTAATTATTGGACATTTTAAATTAAATTATTTAATTCATTCACATATTAAACAGGATGAGTAAAGTAACTTTTCTGGATCTATTATATATTCCGCAATAATATTTGCTAATTAAAAAAAAAAAAAATTGCATGAATGATATTTCTTTATGACTTTGATTTCGTATTAAATTTCTGATTAAATTAGACTAAAATTAAACCAGAATTGTTTGTCGAGAATAATTAGATTGGATAAAATTTCAAATTAAATTAATGTATTTGTAATTATAAGTTTTGGTCTTTAAATATTTTCAGATAGTTTATCTTTCGTTATTTTTTTCTTTATTAACTTTTTAATGAAAAATACATTTGCAAAAAATTATTGGTATTTTTGATATTATGATTGGTATTTTTCGAGTTTTTAATTTTAAATTTTATGAAACAAAAAATTTTCAACGCTGGTTGAACAAGAATTTATTTAACAAAATGATTCGTCCTTCATTATTTATAAATTTTAGTTTAATTTGTTAATTATATATGTTCTAATTAGCACAACTACTGCATCGCATTAATTAATTGCGCGATTATTATTTATAATCTAAATATCTAAATGCTTAGAAATGAACAATTAATAGAAATGGATTTGTTATGTATTTTGAATTAATTAAATAATATTAAAGTATTTGAAATGAAATGTGTCAAAGATGGAATAAGGAAATGTAGAAAAATGGGGAGGAACAGATGGATGAAAGGTAATAATGAATGTTTAATTAATTAACTGATCGGATAGATGAATTTATTGATTGGAACAAGTTTTCATATTTTATGCCAAACCATCATTATTCATTTCATTTTCGTGTCATTAACATTTTGTTTCTAAGATAAAATTGTCATTAATCTTTATCAATTATCAAATATGGTTTGGATGATTTATATTTTTAACTTTAAAAGTTGTTCAAATTTGACAATATTTTCACTTATTAGTTAAATTAAACATGGAGGTAATTAAATTTAATTGATTTGTTAGTAATAATTTTTGCTATTTTAGTAAGTGAAAAAGTTAGAGCTTTTTTTTTCATTAATTTTTATTAAAAGGTAAACAATAAAATTTCAAGTGATTGTAAAAATTCATTGTTTATTGATAATTTCGAAAAAAAAAAGAAAATATATTTCATCTTTTTAATAGTTTTTTTTCAAGTTTTTCAGTAGTTAGGTGAAAATAAAAGTGTTGAAATAATGATTGGCATAGTTTTGGTGACACTTTTGACATTATACATAATGGGAATTGAAATGGTTCTTGCAACAACTTGTCATTTTTCCCGACCTGATCGGATAAGTCCAACCGGTTGGATTGATGTGATCGATGAATGTAAGGGAAAAGCAAAGGATGCGATTTGTTTTTCAGGCGTAAGTTTTGCTAATTTCAGGTTTATTATATGCAAAGGTTATTGAAGGAAATAAATAAATTCAGAAAAAAAAAAGTGAAAAATTATTAAAATTGTATACAAATGTAAAATTTTTATTTTAATTTCTTTTTTTTTCAGAAAAAATAGTAAAATTTATGGAACAATATTAATTATGAAATTAATTAAAATGTGATAAAATTTGAAGAATTTTATGAATTAATGTAAATTTAATGAAAAAAATGAGCAAAATTCATTTATTTATGAATTTTTTTATTTTTATTTAAGCTAAATTTATTATACAAAATTTTTCTTATTTTCTTGTTTACTATAAAATTTACTTTTTAAAATTGAATTATGAAATTTCGATTTTTTACTTTTCAAGTACAACCCACGAATAACATATTATCATAAAACTATTGGTTGGTGGCGAGTATTACATAGTGAGAATGAATGCTTCACCCAACAATATGTTAGCTTTTTTTTTTTTTTATAATTTTTACAGATTTTGATTTCAAAAACTACATTTTGCAAAATTTCATAAATTAATTTAAAATTTCAAATAATCATTTTACTATTTAGAATGTAATTCTAATTTATTTCAGTAATATTAATTGGTAAGCTAATATTAGCTTAATTTTTAGTTGCGCAAAAAATTGGCTTGTAAAAGTGATCAAGAAATACCAGCGGAAGGTTGCTATCGTGATAAAAAACACTACAGAAAATTTTTCCTTTGTTGGTGCACCGGGTCAAAGTGCAATACACGAGAGAAGATAACAGAAATTTACAAAAAAATGAATACAATGTTTGTTGAAGGTGGTGATTGTAAACCATTTAAATTATGATTGAAATTTAAATTTGGAACAAAATTTATTCAATTATTTGCTAAAAATAGATTGTGAATGAAAATTTTTCCAATTAAAAAAACAAATAAAAACATTTTTTTTTTAAATTTGCTAGCTAAAATAATTAATGTATGGAATGAAAAATTGTAGCATAAAATTTGAAAAATTTGCTATGCATGCAAAATTGTTTATTGAATAGAGTTTGATTTGAATAAATTTTAATTTAAATTTTAAAATATTGAATGTTAATTGATTAAAAAGTTGAATAAATTTATTGCAAAGGAAATGAAAACAAAATTTTTCTTAAAATATTTTTGGATGAAGTAAGGAGGCAAAATAAAAATAAATAAACAAATAAATAAATAAATGAATGAATATATGTATGTAAATTATATCTACATATTTATTTATTTATTTATTTATTTATATTAATATAACCACACATAACTTTCAATACGTTCTAAATTCTTTTTTTTTTTTTTATTTTCAGGAAAGAATATTTCAATTCTGAATTTTTCGCATTTTTTTTTTTCTAAATTATTTGAATAATTTATAGCAGAAAAAGGATTTAAAAGCTAAATTTCATGAAGTAGGGAAAAAAACGAAAAATATTACCTGTTAAATTGAAAGATTGCATGAGATATGATAATTTTAAATGAAATTAATTCAATCATTTTTTTAAATTATTGGTTGAAAAATTTTAAAATATTTATTGTACATTCATATTAACGATTTATTGTATAGTCGTATAATCCATTCATGTTACTAATTATAATTAAAATAAAATCTGAATCCGTTTCCTTTTTTCTTTTCTCATACATTAGATTGCAACAATAATAATAAATAAGTATGAAAGAAATTTCGAACTCAAAAATAGAAATATCGGAATTAAAAAAAAAAAATTTCTTCAAATGAATGATTTTAGAAATCATTAAATGATTTTAGAAATCATTAAATGATTTTAGAATAATCAGTTATTGTTCATCAAAAATTACAATACCTTTACTGTTATCTAATTACTCATGCAATTAATTTATCTAATTACTCATATAATTAATTCAATATTTTAATTCGCCATTTCTCTTTCTGTACACTAATTTTTTTTNTTTTTTTTAATACAACAACAGATAGCAATTATTTTAGTTTTAAAACGAAATAAATAATAAACTATAATAAAACACAACTGACTATTGCTTTGCTTAAATTCTCATATCTACCATCGTATAGTAAAATAATTGAATTAAATTAATTCAATATTTCCATCCTTAATT